GGCTTCTAGTTTCTCAACAACTTTTCGAAACTAATATCATTTCATGAAAACTTCAAATTCTTGGAGTTTTAATACGAATTCATGACTGGGGAAATTTAATCATGTGTGAGATAAGACAAATCTCATCAATGGTGATGATTATTGCTTGGTTAACATCACAGATTAAGTGGAGCTAGAAATCGAAACTATTCGATGCCAACTCAATAGTCTAAAGCTTAAGGGCTCGCTATGAGTTCTCGATGTCCTAGATATTAACCTCTGTGGTAGAATTATGGATGTCCAATGCTGAATAGTTATACGTTATTATGAAAAAGCTGCTGAGTGCCTCACAGTTTCCACTGGTTGTTTAACTGTAGTCAATCTACCTTATAAATCTATGAAATAAACTTCAAATATAACGATCTCCAAAAATCCTGGATGATACACTTAATAATTAACAATTAGTTATGATAAATGTATAATACAAAAAACTTTCACACAAACTTTGAGACAGATCTCATAACTGTGAGAATTTCAGATAATCTTGTATGATTGAATAGAAACCTAACAGAATATATACATTGTAGTGACCTACTTTTATCAACGGAACGCGATTAGTGTAATGGAAACAATTACTATTATAACCAATTGTACCAGTGATTGTTTTACTGTACTTGTTTGTTTCACTGTACCAAAGATATTATTTCTTCCGTTGGCTGTGACCTGGTACGAATTCGGTTACGCTCAGTGACCCCACTTGTAATCTGGCACGATCTCGGTATTCTTTCGATACCACGAGATGGCCAGCAAATACATCTGAACTACAGCCATCAACTGCCTTCTGATATTAGCCTACGGGGATCTAATTGGTTAACTGGCACGTAGTCTTCTTGTAGTAGTGATCATAGTCAACCGTGACTCGACACCACACTACAACATCTTCAAGTTCAAACAATAAATTAACAGGGATACCTTTGTGTGTAATAAAAATCTATAAATATCCCATCCAACATCTCAAAGTAGGCCATTTAACTGATTTACTAGTTTAGGTAAACTTCACTAAAGCTTGAGACATGTAATCGATAAGTCTTGTTAGGTGAACGCTCAATCCGATTCCCTAACCACTTTTATTAACCTGGAGACTAAATCTACACTTTTTGATGGAGTTTTATTCTTTGATCTAGATGGTTTGATCGTGGAAATTTCACCATTCATCTGAGTTACAAATCTCCATCAACATTAAATCTACACACCAACTTAAACATAAAAGAAAAGGTACGAAATGCAAAAAGTACGCTTTACCTGAAGGTTAGTTTATATACAGAAACAAAATGAGAGTATTTTTAGTATTACAAACAAATTTAGACCTTTGAAATTTTCTGGAACCATGCTAACTATAGTAGCCATCAGTCAGTCAGTAACAATGTAGAACTTCGTATGTACGTACTTCAGTTCAAGTTCCCGTACCACATTAGCACACAGATATAACTGTGAATCCAAATCCCATAGTGGTAGAGGTAGTAAGAGTATAAGCAGTAATCGGAAAGATTAGAGTTTAAAGATGTTATTCAAGGAGTATAATACAGTGAAATAAATTTGAAAAGATAAGAAAGAAAGGGACATGAATAATTCAGCAGATCAGGATTTGGGAGAACACAAAGAGTGGATGCACCTGAGCCATTGCAAACGATTTTGAGCTATATCACATTCAAGGTCTCTAACCATCGGTTGCTATCGTCTCGTGGTCCCCAACCAGGTATTCTACACCTACCAACATGGCTCAGTCGATTTGTCATTGACTTCATGGATTTGTGTCATGTTTTGATCTGACCACCCCTAGTTTTCTCCCAACCTGCTCCTATACCATTGAACATCTCACGTTGGGGCAACAGGTGGTTGGGCATACATAATACGCGTCCAATCCATCTTAACTATAGTAGTAGCATAGATAAATAATCCAATCAGAAACATGACATATGACGTTTAACTTTCTAGATGTTTCTGAGAAGCTTTTATTCAATGCTGAAAGGATGAAATGTTTTCCAGCGTTTTCTTAGCTCCCATAGACTTTTTCAAGTAATACTTTGGAATTATATAATAACCTATTCCATAATAAATATTACCATTTCTGATATCTGAGTAAATAGAAAACTGTATTTCTGATGTTTCATAATTATAAGAATATGCCAATATAAAGGAAAAGTAGTAAAGTTTTGTACATGATTATGTTATATCCTAGTGAAGATTAAATTACGGGTAACTTCTGTGAACTACTAATGGACCAACTTGCTTCTGTTGAGCAAGTTATATTGGCAGATGTTCTAGGAATTCGTACATTCGGGCTCGTGAGCACCTACCCATATGGTTAAGCAAAGGTATAGTCAAGACGGTTAACAGCTCCATCTTAGACCATCTAGTTCAGACAGGACATACAGCGAACATGGAGCAATCTTTTGCAATAATCTATCGTGTTAACAGCAGTCTACCTAATTCCGTCAGACTGCGAATCCTACAGACGGCTGAAGCAATTGCTATTCGGATCAAAAAGCCAGAGTTTTGCATCCAAAAGAAGTATGTTCAACCACTCCTTTTACCCTGGCCAACTTTGGGGCCAACTACTTAATAATCACTTTTATAATATGGTGACGTAATTTGATGAATCTTCATTTTATGTCCCAAACTTATTATTATTATTACATTTGATAACCGTTTTGAGGATTTATTCAATATCCACCCGTAAATCTACTATATCTGGCCTAATTCATATTATTCTACATATTACGTAATTTCCGATTTTTATCCCATAATTTTTTTTCTCTCACCCCATGTTAACTATATTTATTCTGATCATTATTTATCGCATAATTTCATTTCACTTATCAACTAATTCAAGGGAACACTTTATATTAGTTAGCTAGTTCCAACATTAACAATCTGATTGGATTTAATAAATAACAAATAACACTTCTTGATTTACATATTACAATTTCTAAATGATGTACTCTGCCTTAAATCTGGTCAATTCTATGGAGTTCAACCAGGTCTGTTGTGGGATAGTAACTCACTGAAGACAATGGTGGATGTATCGCTCAATTTCGTGGATTAGTTGAAGTTAGACATTAACACCGTTGAATGCCTGCTCAGTAGGTCCTGGGTTCGAATCTCGCAGCGGGCGAGGTCATGGATGCGCACTGCTGAGGAGTCCCAGTGCTTTTCAATGGTGGTCTAGCTTCAACTGACTCATGATCTTAATCATTGCAATTTTATGGATTATTAATTTGGATAAAAGATAATTGTCCAGTACCTGATAGGAAATTATTGAAAAGAATATTCTTCGTTCATACAATTGTGTTTTAATATAATGGGAATTTTTCAGTGATTAAATGTTATTTCTTATTTTATGGTGTGATACAGTCTGTTTGGTTGGTACATAAACCAAGTACGTTTGAAATGAATGAATTGTATGGTGAAAGATGATATTAGTGTTCTGCACTCAACTGGAAGGGCTAGGAGGAATAAGTGTCAATAAGGATGCTCAATTGCTCATACCGGTCGATACGTCATTGATTTGGCACAATGTTAAGATTGTATAAGTCGTATTTTGATTGGTAAATAAATCACTTGATAATTAGCCAGGCTTAAAGTCACAATAGTTTACTTGTTAGATAAGTAGAAATGAAGTCATTAATTTGACCGACTTGAATGTTGGCTAGCAAGTCAAATTATACGGTTTACTAATAATAACTGTACTTGGTGTCAAATTACATTTTGGTTAGTTACGAAACATACCTAGATATTATGAAACTATATATGAATGTACATATTTTGTTGCAGGAGATTAAAAAAATCACAATCAAATGCATAGTTTTTTTTAAAAGTTGGATAGTAGTGAGTACTGAAATCCAAAATGCTTTTTTGATTTTCTTGGGATTAGTCTATTGGATGTACTTGCCTCTCAATGATGATCTTCTTAATCAGATAAGGATTCCCAGTACCTTTCATTTTGAATGAGCACTGCATTATCCAGTAAGCAACTGAATCCAGAGAAACAGTAACTATACTGAAATACAGTTGCTAACTTGACCTGGTGGTCGGGCTTGCCTATCGTAATGAACCAATCGAGTTATACAGGCTGGAACAATCTTTTTCAAGGTCCTATCATGCCAGACAGGTCAGTTTAAGAACGGTAAGATTTAAAGCAGCAAATCCAATGTCCGAGGGCAATATCGTTTTACTGACTATACAGAGGTGTGATGCCAGTAAGGTGTTTCCTTCAGACAACCGGCATAACAACAATGCTGCTTTTCCACAAGGAAGGGTGGGGTTAGAAAAGGTCGAACCTAAAAATGCACACGTCTTCTTATCCAACAGATTTCTGTCTCCGGAAGTAAGGTCCCACCAAGTACGGAGCTAACACGAAAATTACTCACAAAAAGGTCATGTGTGACCAGCCTGAAACAGTTGACCTTTTGGCACTGTGGCCACACTCTCAGGTCACTAAGACCACCCTTAACACAATTTTCTTTTCAGGTACCTCTAGAAGAACCGTTCCACAGTGTTGGCAACCGGAAAGTGATAACCGCCCTCATACCTCTAACAACACTCAACATCAGTAAAGACTTGTATTTTCTCGTCATTAATGTCATAATTTGGAATCCATCAGTCTTGAACGAATTGACTCAGTATTATCATTTAGTCACCAGATATTTTAAGGTTGAAAAGTAGATGAAAATGGGATTAAGAATTCAGATTCCGTCCTATTTCAATAGAAACTTATCATTTTACATTCCTTAACATTAACAATGAGAACATACAATCTAGACCATCATAAAAAACTTAGAAGTACTAGACAGTCGTTTCGTCCTATTGTGGGACTCTTCAGCAATAACATCATAATCTGATATGCTTCACACCCATAATATTTAAGTTTCTTATTAGAAAAGTATCTTTTGAGAATTTCATCAACACAATACATACACACAAAGTTACATTTCAACAATAATCCTATCATACTTACTTACCTTCACTACAATCAATCCCTTTGAAATCTGGTGTACATATACATTTTGAATCATTTTCATTTAAATTATCATTACTACTACTACTACTACTATTACTACTATGAGGATGAAGATGACGACGACATATTCCATTATTTAAACATGGTGGTTGACATATTCCAATTGGATCCATATCAATTGAATAAATTATTTTAGAATTAATTAATTTTACAGGAGAAATTGTAGTCATTAATGTTGATGATGATGATGATGATGATGATGACGATGATGATGATGAAGATGATAATTCAGCCCAAATAATTATTGGACATAATAATAATAATAAAGAGAAAATTAATAAATGATCAATAATTTGTATCCCCATTTATATGAGTTATATAATTCCCTTGTAATCTATATACATATACATATATATAAATATGATAATAATCAAATGTTATGTAATCAAGGAAGTAATCAATTAGATGAAATTTCAGTTAGATTAATGTTTGTATTTGGTTTTTAGAATGATCACTATTAGATCCAACTCGTTGTTGTTGTTGTTATTGTTGTTGTTGGTGGTGGTGATGGTGATGGTGATGATGATGGTGGTGATTTGTTTATTTTCTTCTGTTGACAAATACAATGATCTGATCTTATTCTTTTTTTGGATCTAATATACAAGTAATTCACATAAGATTATCATTCATGTTAAATAAATAATCTGAAATAAATAAACAAATTAATGAATGACAATTATAAAATAATAATAATAATAATACTTATGAAGCCATTTGTTGTTCTTTTATATTTATTGAATAAGTATGGGTGGAATAAAATAAATAAACTTTCTAAAAGAATAAAAACACTTACAAATCAATACATAAATAGACGGAGAGGGGGGAGGGGTGTAGGATGGTGGCAACAGAAAGTGTGTGTGTGTGTGAGAGAGAGAGAGAGAATGAAACAGCACACTTTAATAAACAGAAGTGAGAAAAAGTATAGGCGGAAGGTTTTTGTCAATGAGAAAAAAAATAAACGACATGATTGAATTGTATGTGTATGTATATACATGGACCCACATATATATATATATATATATATATATATATATATATATATATATATATATATATATAGACAAACATTAGCACACAGACACAATTACATAGTTGTACAATATGTAATTAATTACACGTTACAATATTACTTTCTTTAAAATTTTCAAATGGATCAACCTTAATTAAATGTTGAACACTATAGAATAATTAATGATTATTTCTTTTATTAGAAGTACTCTTATACTTAAGAACTATTGATTACACTAGTTGATATGATGAGTCAGTTGAACTTAGACCACCATGGAAAACTTGGAAGCATTGGACGGCCGTTTCGTTCTATTGTGGGCCTCTTCAACAGTGCTCATCCACGATCCCGCCCCACGAGATTCAAACATAGAACATATGAGTCTCGAGCGTAAGTGCTTACCTTCTAGACCACTGAGCTAGCTGGCATCCAACGGTGTTAATGTTCAACTTCAATCAATCCACGAAATTGGGCCACCGTCCACTATTGTCTTCAGCCAATTAGTATCTTACATCAGACACAGTTGAACTTCACTGGTCACTGCTTGGCACTATAACTCCAGGATATACCTCTTGAATCCAGTCACTAGTGAGCATATGTTGATTAATATCATAAGGGTTTTTGCGCTATTTTGTATTGTGTTGTATTTAATAGGAAGAAACATTGGGTGACATGACTTGTAATCAATGGAAATGATGTAGACGTACATACTTTTTGTCTTTGATTGAATCCTGCATTTAAATATGATAAAATAATTTCGGCTTCTTTTAATCCTGTAAATTTAATCCATTTTTTTCCTGTGCCGAGTCTTTTCTCTTACTACCATGAAATATACTCAGTCAGTCAGTCAGCAACAACGTAGAACTTCGTATGTACGTACTTCAGTTCAAGTTCCCGTACCACATTAGCACACAGATATAACTGTGAATCCAAATCCCATAGTGGTAGAGGTAGTAAGAGTATAAGCAGTAATTGGAAAGATTAGGGTTTAAAGATGTTATTCAAGGAGTATAATACAGTGAAATAAATTTGAAAAGATAAGAAAGAAAGGGACATGAATAATTCAGCAGATCAGGATTTGGGAGAACACAAAGAGTGGATGCACCTGAGCCATTGCAAACGATTTTGAGCTATATCACATTCAAGGTCTCTAACCATCGGTTGCTATCGTCTCGTGGTCCCCAACCAGGTATTCTACACCTACCAACATGGCTCAGTCGATTTGTCTTTGACTTCATGGATTTGTGTTATGTTTTGATCTGGCCGCCCCCATGGTTTTCTTCCAACCTACTCCTACAGCATAAAACATCGCACTTCGTGACAGTTGGTGGTTGGGCATACATAATACGCATCCAAGCCATCTCAACTGATGAAGTTTCATTACTTCATCAATTAATTTGTTATCCATACCTAGTACTCGTGTCCTAACAACTGCATTACTTACTCAGTGGTCGCAGGATATATGAGCAACGCTTCAAGGACACCTACGATCATCTCAGTGTTTTTTAATGTTGCAAGGTAATATGAACCGATCCACTTATGTGCTGAATTGTCTGTTGTTTATAACTGACTGAATAACGATAGTTTTTTCGATGAATTTTGATAACCATATTCTACTGGATGTTAGTATTGGAGTGTTTCATGAAATACCTTTTTTCTCACCATAAACTGAACTTACAACTGACTTATTTATGCTTTATTCACCTAGGTATAAGAATATTGTAAACTGTTTAAAATTGGTTGATTAGTGGGAAGTGATCAATGTCATTCATATTTAGTCTTACAGTGTTAGTCAAATCCTATCGATCAACTGTAAATATTTCAATCATACTAGAAGATTATTCACTGCTCGAATTGCTAACTGGAAACGCTTCAGATAGTTAAGTTGAAGTACCAGTTCCTTTAAGACTACTGATACGAAATATCGATCTAGAGTCCTCATTCGATTATCTCAACCACAAAACATTGTAAACTATACCAAAAACTATAAGCAAAGATGGATAGTGGCTAGCAGTGGAATCCAGAACGGGCGTTTCGTTCCATTTGGGACTCGTCAGCTGGATGTACCTGATCAATTGCAGTCATAAACATCAATGGAAAGATTCAAGTAAAACAATATCAAGTGAATTATGCCAAAAACTGTTTTAGAAATTGGAAATAACTAAAGTTTGTATCAAATTGCAAAGCTAGAGATTCATCAACTGGTAGCCCCCAAATGCCCTGGTACGGCCGAGAGTAGGGAGAATCTGCTCTCCGCCTCGAAATGCTCTCACATGGCCACGCGTATATACCCTATGCCATAGAAGTCCTACCCACTGTTTTTTTGCGTCACGGGTGTTGTTTACAAAATTGTGAGGACGAAAAGCGAATATCCAGCGTTTTAACCGGGTTGGTGGCCACGGAGGGTCCATCTAAGGGAGTTGGAAAACCCTCATTCCAAACCAATGGTGCACATTGGGAACAAATGGCATATGGTACAACTATTGGTCAACGACTATCATGGTACTGCATCTCCTTAAGTTGCTCCACTCCCTTGTAGATTATACCTTTAGATGAAAGGCTCTGGGTATGGCTCCTTAATATAACCACCTACTACTGTTTGGGCACCTGTGCAGTATCAAAGCTCTCACACAAATCAGATAAGATTTGTGTGGTGCAAATATATCTAGTGCCCTCTTGTGCCAATATCTATGTGTTCAAATAAATAAATGAAACAAACGAAATAATCAAAGTTAGAGAGATTGAATAGTTTTTTTGGTATTGTCTAGTTTTACGAAATAGACACTTAAACTAAGGAGCTTCCATCGTGATTTTAAGCAATATTACCAGAGCTGACTTCATGTAAACGTGAGCTTTCACAAGCCTTGCATCAATTTTGTCTTTATACTCTTGGTTGTAAGTGGTTGTTCTTGTAAGTTTTATCGTCTTCATTTGTCTTTATATTCCAAGTGACTGTATCGTTCAGTCGATCTTTGATTATGCTGTTGGTTGACCTGTTATTAGATGTATTCAGTCTATAAATACGATTTTTAACTATCATACAATGCGTCTATATGTTACTATACTGCTTATGACAAAAGTTCTCTGAGGTAAAATGATAAGTGATATTTTAGGGTCAATGTTTTCTAACCTCGTTCTTCCGTTGTAGGAAGGAAGTATTACTGTGAACGCTCAATTTTCAAGGTGAACAATCAACTGCCGTCACACTTTTAGAATAGTAATTGTATGACTTCATCTTTAGTAACTAATTTCAGTCTTACCATTCTTTAACCAACCTATCTGGTATACTACTATCTAAAGGAACAAATATTCCAACCAATATACCATGATCAAGTGATTACGATGTGAAAACTCTATCACTATATAAAGGTATCAGCCACAATCGAGTATTTTCATTTACGTAAGTGATGTGTGAAGAAATTTCATTCAAATATATGTTGTCTTCGGTATGTGTATATTAAGAAAACATATCATTTTATATATGATATGAATCAAAATGTCACAGCATGCATTTTAATGACGATAAATAAACAAGATAAGTAAACAAGATAACAGACTGAATTCAAAGAGGAATGTATTTGTAATTGAAAGTTTGTGTTATTTCAGTGTTCCCATCAATTGTTTAACATAATCAGATACAATAACTGAGTTGAAACCGTTAAATGTATTATCTATTGATTAGTTCATCAATAGATAGAATGTAATAAGGAGTTCATGTTTAGTTATTAATTATTAGTTGCCATGGGACAGCTAATTGTATTCCATCTCTCCTATTAATACTGTTTGAATTAGCCCATATATGTAGGGCTTCGGCTGTTAGTCGTTCTTTGTAAGAGTTAAAGCCTTTTTGAATGATTCGTGCGCCATTAAAGTCTTGTTTATTTATCGTCATTTAATAACATTATACTTTAAGTCTATTCATACATATAATATGATACGGAAAATAAAAGTGTCAGACAACAACAACAACAACAACCAAATAAGCTAGTCACCTAGAAACAGTCCTTAGGACGGCATATAAATATCCTAACATTGAATGAGTTTCTATCATACTGAACTAAAATTATACAATCCATTTATTCCTGTAGAGTCACTTTCTCTCTCTCTCTCTCTCTAATAATCTAACATTAAAAATCAATATTTTATTATTGATCTAACTACATTATGTTACATTAATAGTGAAACTAAAAGTGATCTAAAAATCAATATATTATTAAGGGTACTTATATAAATCTTTTGTTTAGTCAGTTATAAATATTGATTATGATATGTATATTTTACAATTTTGATTAAAGAAATACGAAAAATGTTAAATGTTGCTATGTATATCTTGTTGAATATATCAGTAACAAGTTATAAGATGTTTCATTGAGGTTATTTAGCAATATCTAAGCAATAGGCACAATATGCACATATGCCAATAATAGACTAATTAATTTCAGTGTTAAAAACCTTAATGGGAAGATACAAGCAAAAAAACAATATCAAGTGAATTTAGATTCACCCCATTGCACAAGTAAGTGGTTATCAGGACTCAGTAGCTGAATGGATCACGCGATGATGTTTGGAACGAATGGTACTAGGTTGAAGTCCCAGAATGAATATGAACTCTGAGATTCAGTTACATTCAGCTGACGAGTCCCAAATAGGACAAAACGCACACCAAACTGGATTCCA